CCCCCCCCCCCCCACCCCCCCACCCCCCCCCCCCCCCAAACATCTCTACACCCACCCCTCTATCCTTGGTTTAAGTTTCCTGTTTTAAGATTATACCCATTTGATATATACTGGCACTGGGTATCTATTTTTTGGGAGAGTGCTACATTTTCCTTGTTCAAAATGTTGATTATCAAGAAGAAATATTCAGTGCTGTTATTTAACTTCTGTACCAGTACAGGGTGTTACAAGAAACAAACATTAGATTTGTCACATTTCCGCAGATGTTTTTGTTGACTCATTTCCTGTTCTACTTTCAGGTACTTGAATCTGAACTATAAACCCAAAATCGTCACTGAATACTTGCCACAGGATGTCAAGGAAGAATTATTATTGGTTGAACAGAGCAGGGAAAAAGCCAAGAAAAATGACGAAGCATCATCACATGATCCTGATGACTCTTCCCAGCCTCCACAAAAGAAGATCAAGAAGTTGAAAGGCCAACACAAGAAAAGACCAATTGCCAAGCATTCAGACCCTTCCACCAGGCTTTGTCCAGCCTTCGTCACTGAGACACAGTGCTCTTTTGGAGAGAGGTGTAAATTTAATCACAATGTTGAGGAGTACTTTAAAGCTAAACCAGCTGACCTAGGCTCTCACTGTTATAATTTTGAGACATTCGGTAAATGCCCGTATGGCATCACATGCAGATATGCAGGGCAACATATATCAGAAGACTTTAAAAATGTAATGAATGAGGAACTGCACGCACGCACATGTAAAGAGACACAAACGCTGAATACTCTGTCAAAAGATGTCCAAACCAAGTTGAGGAGAAGGCAATATGATTTTACGCTAGCAGAGAGTACTTACAAAAACGTTGGGAAAAAGACAGAGAAGTCAGAGACACAAAGTAACAATGATGTTTTGAAGGCCTCAGTCCCAGAACAGGGTTCTGATTCTTTATCTGAAAATGGTTGCAAAATATCATCAAATAGCAAAGAAAAGGAGGAAATCTCTCCCAGCACAATTGAATCTAGTCCATCAAAAACATCTGCAGATGGTGCGATGAATGATACAACAGCACTGAAGCAAACAGCGCCCAACAACAGTGACTGTAGTAACAGCAATGTTACTGCTGAAAGTGACAAAGGTGCAGAGACAAAGCCTTTGGCAACAGAGAGTCATGACAGGCCTGTAAAGCTACGCCCCCAGGAGAGAAAGAAGGTAAAATTTTGTTTCAAGTTATGAAACTCTGGTTGTGTTCACCAAGGACATAGGTTGAACATAGGCTAATTAAATGAATATTGTTTTAGAGAAGTAAAATTAAATATATGCTGTTATTTGAAGAATTAACTCATATTGACATTTGTGTGCATTTTAATTAGCAGTTCGCTGTGAATAAATAATATAATTAACCTTTTCAGTTGCAATGATCCGTTACTTAAATATACACATTTTATCTTTTGTTCTGATTAGCACTGTTGAGCTCATTTCTTTTTAGATTGATTTCAAGGATAAGCTGTACCTAGCCCCCCTGACTACGGTGAGTATCAAAAGTATGCTTTTAGTCTGAAGGTGCCTTGTCAATAGTTTTAATATACATTAACTGTAGAGTAAATCTGAATGTGAACACATATTACATTCTGATGTCAATTAAAAGTGTAGAACTTTGTATAGATAGCAGATGAAGTCATTGTCAGAGATTAAAAATTTCAATTTCTGCTCATACTTTGAAAGCTATTATCATGTTTGTTGAAACTTCTCATGTTAGATTGCTATCTTATTATGTATAGAAATTGAAAGGCTTCAAGTATGACACATAGATTTACACCTATTTTTCATTCTGCATGCTTTATTATAATTTGTCATTTTGCTAATGTATGTTTGTAGAAAAAAGTTTTTAATTGCATGTACTGAAAATTAACGCAATATGTTAAAAAATTCATTCAAGTCTGTGCTAGTAGTAAAATCTGCAAGGTTTGTGGTGCTGATGCGCATAATCAATGTCATAATGACAACATTTTCAGGTTGGTAACCTCCCTTTCCGAAGAATCTGCAAGGTCTACGGCGCAGACATCACATGTGGCGAGATGGCGATGTCGACCAATCTGCTTCAGGGCCATCAGTCTGAGTGGGCACTTCTCAAGAGACACGCCAGTGAGGACCTGTTTGGAGTTCAGGTATACTTGTAGCAGTGAAAGTTTTTGGGTTTATCTGGAATCCTGATATTTGAGTGCAGTTATATTTGTGCTTCCCCATACCTCCCCCCTCTTTTCCTTTCTCTTATTTGGACCGAGTTTCCTTCTCTTTCTGATAATTTACAAAGAACAGTTGAACTGCAAGATGGTCAGAAAATATCTCTGGATCCGCACCTGTATATGATAGGGGGAATTTGACATTGTAAACCAGTTTGATCTCTCCATATTCACCCTGAGTTTCCTGTGTTTCCAGGTGTGTGGAGGCTACCCTGATACCATGGCTAGATGTACCCAGCTTCTGAATGACACCATAGACGTGGACTTCATAGATATTAATGTGGGATGCCCCATTGATATGGTCTTTAAAAAGGTATTGTGTTGGTGATACTCAAAAAGAAAGAAATGTAAAAAATGCAGGCACCCACACACACACACATATATACACGCTCACAAACACACACATACACACACACACACACACACACACACACACACACAGCGATGATGGATCTGATTTGTCCTGGGATAAAGTTTACATCTAAAAGTCAAGAACAATTTTAAGACTTTATCTTTTCAGTGAAAAAAAAAAGACCCCTAGTCTTATACTCTACAGTGCATAGAAAGGTGAAACAAATAGATTATTGCAGTTAATATTTCTTTTATTTTTCAGGGTGAGGGCAGTGCTCTTATGGGGCGACTGAACAGATTTGAGCAAATTGTTAGAAACATGACTGCCATCTCTGATATCCCTGTCACCGTGAAGATGAGGACTGGAATCTATGAGAACAAGCAGATAGCTCACACTGTGATCCCCAGGGTGAAGGAATGGGGGGTGTCACTGATGACAGTAAGTAGCTCACACTGTGATCCCCAGGGTGAAGAAGTGGAGGGTGTCACTGATGACAGTAAGTAGCTCACACTGTGATCCCCAGGGTGAAGGAGTGGGGAGTGTCACTGATGACAGTAAGTAGCTCACACTGTTATCCCCAGGGTGGAGTGGGGGGGGGGTGTCACTGATGACAGTAAGTAGGTCACACTGTGATCCCCAGGGTGAATTAATGAGTGGTCACTGATTACTTGATTTTCCCAAATGTTTTTCTCAAAAATCTCTGGTTTAGATCTCTGATCTATGGTAGAATTCCTTACAATTTTCTCACTCAAATGTCTGTCCTGCAAAAATCAGCTGACCACCAAGGGTTTAGATTCTATGACACATTTGTAATGAAAGTAATGTAATATTATAATTATTATAGGTTAATGTTATTTTTATTGTATTAATCCCTTTCATTGAGCTAATTTGCACCTCATTGCGTATGAGCATGGCATCTTAATTGGTTCGCTGATTCTATTTTGTATTTCAGTTACATGGACGGACTCGTGAGCAAAGATACACAAAGATGGCAGACTGGGACTACATCAACACTTGCTCTAAATTAGCAGATCCAGTGCCTTTCTTTGGTAAGTGAGATATATTTTTTATAATTTATTGCATAATAATTTGAAGCCATGCAGGGAAATAAAGTTTGTAAAATTATTCAGCTACTGCCATCTGTATTATCTATTGCTAAAGTCTTATAAAACCCAGTATTTGAAAAAGCAAAAAAAACAAATGATATTAGTCTCTGTTTATGGTTTAGACTGATAGTTTCTTAGACCTTTGTTGCCTGAAGGGCAAGTTGGCAGAAGATTTTTTTTTTTTTTTTGGCACAGTTATTCTGGATCCAAATGTAGTGTTTTAAATAGAATGCAATTGTGTCTCACTGATGCAGAGCTCCTACTTGTATGTGTCTGATCAGGTAATGGAGATGTGCTGTCATTTGAAGACTACAACCAGCACAGAGAGCAGACTGGGGTGTCTGGGATCATGGTAGCAAGGTAAGGTCAAAGGTCATTTAAGAGGTCATATACCATGGGTCAAAGGTCAAGTTGAAGGTCAAAGTCAATAGTCAGAGTTTTTAATGTTTATTGATAGTTTTGTTCACTTGCTTATTTACCATGTACTCATATTTAAGTGGTATATTAACAGGAGAAAAAGGAACATTCTCATCCACTTGTACTGTATGACTCTGTCTCCTGTGGATAATTTCGATTTAACATTTTGGTATTCATAAAGATATATTTCTTTACTCTTCTATATTATTTATTAAAATTTGTATTTCATTTACGTTTCTTGTTTATCTTATTTAATTTACATATTTCTCCAATAATTGATAAATTAATTTCTAAAACATTTTCAGAGGAGCCCTCATTAAGCCATGGTTGTTCACAGAAATCAAGGAACAAAGACACTGGGACATTTCTGCCAGTGAGAGGCTGGACATGCTACGGTCATTCACCAACTATGGCCTGGAGCACTGGGGCTCTGATGACCAGGGAGTGGACACCACCAGGAAGTTTTTACTGGAGTGGTTGTCTTTTCTGTACAGGTAATTTGCATAGTTTAAGCACAAACAGAGAGACATACTTCTAGGATAATGTTAAAACAAGTTTCTTTTCATTTCAAGTTGTTGAATCTACTTGGTAAAATGTTAGAAGAACTTGATGTTTACTTTTTTCCTCAAACATCGACTCACTAGATACCTTCATCAGTCAGACGTGACATGTACCGGGTAGATGTTGCTGGGGTCACATAATTTCAAGAGAAAACCTTTTCTCACACCCCAATCTTCAACTCGACCCCCCCTTACTGCCATGTTGTCCAAATATGTCCATGTTTATTTTTAGGAAAAATATAATATAAGATCGTATAACAAAACTTATCATAAGGAAATTATTTGATAGCACACAAAGCCAAGTATATAAACACCATGGGTGAACGTTTTCTGGATTATGCCTGATTTCAAGATTTTCAGTCATTTTGTCAAATTGATCGTTTTGTTCATATGGTCTAAATGCAGTGACAAATTGCAAGCTAGGTTTTCAGGTTTTTCAGGTTTTACAACTTTTACCCATGATAAACACTTTGCCCTGTGTTCCTCTTTGTGCTAGGTATATACCAGTAGGAGTGTTGGACAGAGTCCCTCAGAAGATTAATGAGAGGCCGCAGCCATTCTTTGGCCGCAATGACCTGGAGACTCTGATGGCCAGTGGAAACAGTGGAGACTGGGTCAAGATAAGGTGACCAATGATGACTATTTATTTATTTATTTATTTATTTATTTATTTATTAACACATTTCAATGTGTTTAGATATAAGGGATAAAATTTCTCCTTAGAAACTTTTTTTATAGATTTGTTTGATTAAATAATTTTGATAAAACAACTTTTAAACCCAGAATATGGAAACCCCAACCTTTGTAATTAGCACTTGGATCATAATGTACAGCTCATGAAATTTGCAGAGCCTTTATTGTATAACTATACAATTAACTAGGAACACTTAGACGCTATGGAACCTCAAATTCCCTTTGGACTATTTGTTGCCTAAGGATAACAATTTATTGCAACATCTTATGAGCTAAATAATTTGTAGTAGATGATAAATTTAATCCGGGAGGGAACTCAAAAACACGGTATTTATTTTATTTTATTTTAATAATTCATTAATTTTTTGGCCAATATGCAATCTTGAATACGTTTTTATTCCAGTGAGATGCTTTTGGGACCGGTCAAGCCAGGGTTCACTTTTCTTCCTAAGCACAAGGCAAACGCATACAAATAGAGCAGAGTAAAGAGACAAACATCAAGTCCTTACATAGTGCTAACTCTTTTGAGGCAAGATTCTAGTTATTTATAGAAAAACAGGATTTACTAGATACAAAAGTTTTGATGCAGTGACATTGATTTTAGAGGCGAGTATTTTAATATTATGTGGTTTTAGCTAGATTATGAGGAAGATGTCTCCACATAAGAAAGAAAATGTATAAATATTATTAATATATAGTGATATGGAAGAGAATAAATTTGTCAAATTTTTAAAAAGGAAATATGATTTGTCATCATGGCATTGCCCCTGTAACATTTAGAAAACACATTCACAGGTATCTCAAACACGCGTAAACTGTAACGAAACCAACAAAATTCCACAAGAGGAAAGTTTTTGAAGCCTGTCCAACAGAACTGAGGTGATATGTGAACAAAATTGTAACATTTCATATCATTTTTACAAGTCTACAAAGCGCAGATTTTCTCAAGATTTCATCCCCCTACAGCGTGCACATGGTGAAAAGCTAAAACTCACGCCCTTTGACAGCAATTAGGATAACTTTTTTATTATTTGTCGAACACGTACAGTGAACAGTACTGCCCCCCCCCCCCCCCCCCCCAGAGTACGGTCTGTGGACTTGTGAAAATAATGACGATAAGATGAATGACCTCTAGGCATGTACAGATGGTGAAACAGAAATCTAACGATCTGTGTGTATGGGCAACGAAGAAAAGTTCAGATCTTGAGTTTGTAAATATTTGGGTGTTGTACGTCCTTGGGTCCTTCGTAGGTTATAAAAAGTTAACTGTAAACTGCGATAACTGGGGTCAGCAAGTGTTCCAGATAAACCCAGTGACACTAAGAAAAAATTACAAAAAAAATCTAGTTTAAAAACCTGCTTACTGAACTTTTGCAGTACGTTGCAAAATATGATTGAAATCACAAAATGCCTGTCAACTGTTGCTTCTCGGCTTTGTTGAAGACATTGGAGGGGGGGTAACATTGCCGTAAAGAGAGTTTTTATTTATTTCTGTATATTTCATTTAATAAACGATAAAAAATATTTGTCATTAATTTCTTAGACCGAGCGCTTCCTATCACAAAAAAAGACTGAGTTGATAAAAGGAAAATTTTACCAAAAAAAAAAAAAAAAAAAAAAAAAAAAAAAAAAAACAGATAAAACGCTCTTCTAATCAAGTAGGACCAACGTTAACTGAGTGTAAGCAAATATATTTCTGGATAATAATACTGAACACGTGGAAGTTTATTTGTTGAGATTTTGCAAATGTTTATACATCATCGTAGGCCTGGATATAAGGTCGCCTAAATATTGACATATTTATTTGTATTGTACAATGTTGAGTACATTTTATCAACTTATCAGCAGATAATCTGCCTAGTGGTAATATATGCTAATATTTATAGAAAGTCTATATGGATACGCGCACATCATAAACAATACAACCATTTCATAGCCAGCCCTGTCAACCATGCTGTAATAAGCTAACAGGTTTGAACTGTCTCTTTTTGTTGCGTCTTTTCACTTGGGCTGTGCTAGCTATTAATTTACACAAAGTACTCTGAGACACCAAACAAAAAGTGGTGCCTGTTCAATATGAAGCCTGTTCAATAAACAGAATTGCAATAAAGTGTAAAGAAATATGTAATTAATGAAGTGAAAATAAACAGATATGGGTAGAATCATGGACATCATTATGTCCATGGTAGAATGTTGGTCATAATTTTCCCTGAGAAAAAATATCTTTTTTAGGGCCACTTTCTGCTCCCATAGTTAACGCTATTGCATTTCTTAAATACACACATCTGTTACCAGAAAAAAAAACAAGAAAACCAAGGGAATCGATATTGAAAACGTGTATAATATGCGAATCGTAGCAACCAGGTGCAAGTTCTTGTGACGGAGGTGTCTCGCCTCGTGCATAGCCTCGAACCCACTCAGTTGTCTAACTTGGTGCGTAGCCTCGACTCCTCTTATCTCCAATGAACTCAATCGGTGCACTAAAACTACTAGTGCACCTTCTGACCCGCCTTTAACCATCCGAAGTGTACGCAAGGCCTTCTCTATCAAACGCAGATTGATTTGCAGTCAAACTGCGTTTAAATGGCATGTCAAATAAATGTAAGCTGAAATAATTTTTTGAAAAATTACAAAGCGCACTTAGTGAAATGCACACTTTTTCTGATGCGTCCATGGTATCGAAAATGTTGATTTTGACTCGCCCCCCTCCTTCCCACCACCACTGTTGATAATTGTTTTTATATTAAAATTGGGAGTGGGCAAAGAAAACGACTGACGTAATTTTTTTTTAACTTACTGAATGGCCGAACGATAATCCAGTGTCAAAATCTCACTGAAGCACTCCAGCCTACAATCTACAACCCGCTCTCTCTCTCTCTCTCTCTCTCTCTCTCTGCAATGTGCCTTTGACCCCTTTTTAACCTTCATAATCTGATGAGCACTAAGCTATCAGACGTGTCAATATCAACCCAGATGTTGGACATCTATGCTATCAAGAATTGGAAAGTAATTTGTAATTTGTAAATATCGAAACTTATAAATATTTACATCGAAATCTTATCCGGCTGAAAATGATTTGACATGTACGATAACACACTACGAGAGACCGGTAGAGTTTAAAGGATTCGATCGAGCTATTTAAATGGTTTTGCATTCTGCAATAAAAACGTTATGTATATATCCATGCATTTCCCGCCAAATAATTCGTAAAGGGTTTTCCAAGAAAGCTGAAAGGTGCTATCTAGAAACACGTATGGATGATTATCATCACAAATGAAGAATACCCTTTAGTTATTGGTCGTTTTCACCGTAGACAGGTGTGAATTCTGTAATCTTTAGATCCTAACGAAACTAGTGTCACGAAACAGCGTTCCAAAATTGCCAGTGACAAATCATTGGATGACCAGTTCTAAAAAGGCGTAGATTTCACGCTTTTATAAGACTTTCATTTAAACCCATAAGGTATTTATTTCGCATACGAGGAAAAATTTTCACAATCATAATTAGATTTCATAGGTAAGAAAATGAATGACAGTTGATAACCTTATCTGAAAAGCCGACATCTTCAAGCCTCCTCTTAAACTTGTTTTATTAGAATTTTAGATAGACAATGGTTTTTCAGCATTTATGCTTTAAACACAATATCACAAATGAAACCAACACTCCAATTTCCGTAGTTTTATCTGTGACGCGTGCTGGATAGTAAAAATTTCCTATGGCTTCATATTACACCGCATCTTGGCTCTTAAAGTTACCGAGAGCGCCCTGGACCTGAATACAATTAGAAGTTTGACGTTATACAGTTACCAGGCCTCGATGTATTCCGCGAGGCCGTGTGCCTGCATCCCGTAACGTCACGAAGAGGAACGTTATCAGCAAATGTACTAACCAAGTGCAATATACTCGGATCGCTTAAAGTTGCACTGTGCATGTGCATAGATAATTATTAGCCAGAACTTTGCACTAATGACTTCACTGTACAGTATTATACATATACCTTTGTGACAGACCGAGTTGAACTGCAGTGCGACGAAGGCTCGGGAGAGAAGGCATCGACAGAGAAGAAAGGTAGGCAGTTTCGCTGATATTATTAAGTCTTTAATGAAATGTTATATAATTTAAATACACTTCTTAGGGACATGTGTTATTGTGACTCATAAGGTAATTTCAATTTATTTATTTTCTTTCGCGAAAAACGCTAGGCAGTGATAAAGTTTTTGTAATCTTTTACTCGGTTATTACTGGACCGGTTTCTTTGATGGAGACACAGCGTTGACAGCAAGATTAAATTTAAGTCTAGTAATAGATTTAAAATTTTAATCTATTTAAAATACGACCGAATGACGACTTGTAGTTTACGCAGCATTACAATGCAGTGAATTCTATACACCAGAAAACGGTACTCACTCTTTTGGTCGAAACTAACTTGCTATTGTGAAAACCGCGATTGTACTTATAACTGTTAAAGCGGCGCGATACCGAAAATCTCTCGACTTCGACTTTTCGAATTGTAAACCTGCGCCACATTTCATTCACATTTTGTTGTTGCAAATTACTATGCGTCGAAGCAATGATCTGCGTGTATGCAAGAGTTGTAAGTAAACGGCCCAAACAAAGCGAATATTTCAATCAGCATTTAATTAAATGTTCACTGGGCCTCTAAGTAAAATCAGCACGCAAATGCTTTGTTTGTGTTTTGCCAGTTTTAGACGACCAAACGTCCCGTCACCTTAAACTAAATCAGTACACTGTTATATTACCACTATAGTAGTACTGCGTCGGTTTTTCTTATTTTTCACACCGAGCCGAAAAAATTGAGTTATTTCCTTACGAATTATTGGTCGATTTTTGAAAGTAAAACATGTGCAAACCTGTCTTAATATAATACTAGTTTTCCAGTCGTATTTTACATAAGGGAAGTTTTTAAAGTCTAATACTAGACTTTCGATCTATGTCTTTGTCCCTCTCAGAGAATTCAACAGGTCTACTGAGAATACAGGTGATATATTCTCTTTCTTGTTACGCAACTTGTAATCCAGTCAATTATACTGAAATACAGTATTAGATATTAAAATAGCACCCTTTAAGCTAGCTTAATTTGAATTTGTAATTTTTAAATCTTTTTAAACAGAACGTGAAACAGACGACAACAGAACAAAGATGACGCGCCGCTGGAACTGCGTTGAGAGACCCCTGAGTCGGGTTTTCTATCGCCATGGAGCGTTTCTCGCAAGGCACCCCTTCTTTTTCTTCCTGGTACCTCTTCTACTTGCCATTGTGTTGTCTACGGGGATGAATCATTTTACACAGGTAAAGCAAATAGTAATTGTAGTTCAATTCATTTTAAATGATAAAATTTTTTTTCAAAAACTTCAACCCGTGGGTTGAAATTTTACATGGCTATTATAGAGGGATTCTAATAACGAAATTATACATGTATAATAATTCAGAACGTAAAATAGAGATAGCTGGTTACTCGGAACACAAAATAAACCGACACGATTTTAAAAGCGCACTACAGAATGACATAAACTGTATAATAATAAGTTTATTGAGCAGTAAATGATATGAATACATTTGCAGGCTCACTAGACTACATTATTTACACAATATAAGGATATACATTTATAAATGTTCACATATGCAGTATGCTAAATTACACGTGTTAATGCGTATTATGCTATAAAATAACATATTTATTTGATTTTGGAAATCCAATACACAAAACATTTACTTGATAATGATTACAACGATATATTGCCCAGCTCTTTCACCATCAGCGCCAATCATTACGAAGTGTATGCTATCCGTCCAGACTGTGTGTGAAATCAGCATTTCCTATGACTGTTGGACTTTGTACAGGTTACATTCAATATCGCGTCTGGTATATTATTAACATTGATTACACGTCGAGCCCACGATTTTGAGCACTTTCCATCATCAAATGTCAGCATATTATACCCCCCATATCTTTATTTGAACGTTTCTCAGACGTGTATCAAAAGAAATTAATATGGCCTTTTGATTATCCCTCTTTTACTAATTTTCTTTATTCAAATTTGAATAACTGTTTTTCTTTCGCTCGTGTTCGAAACAGACTGTTTAACCTCTATTAAATGTAATCGTTATGATAAAGCCTGTTGCCCTGTTGCTTTTTAATTTATTCTTTGTATCTGTTTTCTTTTTTTTTTTTTTTTTTTTTTTTTGGGGGGGGGGGGGGACTTAATGTGGACAACGTGTCAGGGACCACAGTACTGAAAAAAGTTGTAATTAATATTTTCAAAATTTTCATACTAAGTGTGTTATTAATTTAATCAGTTGAAGTCTGTCTTTGTCTGAGAAAATTCTCACATGGGAAGCTAAGATGTATAAGTAGCTTAGGTAATATTCCACACCCTAGCAGGTCAACTTTTAATGTCCTTTGTTTCAAGCTCGTAATCCGTTAGGGCTTGATTACATGGAGTTATTGGGAGTGCCCGCCATGACGGGTGGACTTGTGTCTGAAGTAACTAATCGGTTTATTAATTGATAAAGTTTAGCATAAAATTCTGTGACCTAAAATTTGGGAGACTAGAGAAAAAGGATTAGATTGAGACTAAGATTGGATCTTTATTGTGCCATGTGTCTTTTTAAATTAGCAAAATATATATTGTTAAAGTTACAACATGAGGTCGTTTAATTCTTCGTTTAAGATATGGAACCTGGGAATCTCCGTAATAGTTTTACAGATCGCGTAACACCGTTATCCAAAGATGTGCGCCCATTCTGCCCAAGTCCTGAGGTTTAATTATAAAGATTATATATATATATATATATATATATATATATATATATATATATATATATATATATATATAATGTATTTTGTGGGCCGGGATAGTCATAATATAGGGCCCTAACAAGCGGATGTATAAAACCTAAGTCAGATAAGTTTGTGTATTTTCATGTATTTATCGCATTGGATCTGTAAAAGTATTGTGAGTTCCCGAAAACCCATTTACACTCGGGAATGGACACTTGCCTACCCCCCCCCCCCCACCACCACCACCACCACCACCCTATCTCTTAGCAAATAGCCCCAAAAAGGTATGACAACCGAAACGAGGCAAGGTCAGATTTTTTTCAACGCCGTCATACATAATTTAGTTAAAGTGATAATAACTCTTCGTTTCGGCCAAAAAATGAATTTTCCTGGAGTAAACAACAATTTTCCCATACTTACCAATGGTTAATGAATCCATTTTTACATTCAAAGATAGTCCCTGGTTTTTTTCTAAAAAGTTTGGTTTTTTGTTAAAATCTCTTAAGAGATTTTAACAGAGTATAGCCATCAATGGAGGTCACGTGGTCTAAAGACAAGCTCAGATATCAGAATAATAGCTATAACAGCCGTTTTTGTGGGAAAACAGTATATATTATATTTTTATGAGTCACTCACAATGTTTTTATTGTGAAATACAGATTTCATACAAAGAGTTATTATCCCTTTAATTTTCATCGTCTACTGCTTTATTTTTCCCTGGCTTCACTCGCTAAATTTTATCCTATCAACTCTCCCAAGTCAAGCAAAACCCGCCAATGTAAAAATGAGAAATAACAAATGGACTCTAATTAAGAAAAAAGAGGATTTATCAAGTTGATTTGCAGGTACAATTCTTAATTTAATCCATCTTTCAGGTGTATGACATTGAGTATCTCTTCACGCCAGAGAACGGACGCGGTAAGCTCGAGCGCACGACGGTGGAGCACCTCTTTCCGACAAACACCACCAAAAACTTCAACGCCCACCGCCTGAACAGAGAGGGCCGTTACAGTCGTCTAATCATCACCGCCAAAGACGACGGCGATGTCTTGCGTGAGGACATTTTGCGGCAAGTTCTAGAAATCGACAAGACTGTCAATAATATCTCCGTTGATGGTTATAAATTTATTGACATCTGCGGGCGATGGGAAGACGCCTGCGCCGTCACCAACCCCTTTCTCGTCGCCCTGAATTATAACGCTAGTAACATCCGTGGGGTGTCGCTTTCTTACCCAACATACGACATGCCCATAAGGGTGCCCATCCCAAATACTCCATACCTCAGAACCGTCTTTCTGCCGCTGTTTCTGGGAGGTTCTCTTGGAGGCGCCGACGTGGATGAGGAAAAGAAACTCCAAGAATCCAAAGCAATCCAGTTAGTGTACTACCTAGACGAAACCGGCAATGGCTCCTTAGCCGACGAATGGGAACAGGCCTTCATGCACGAGTTCGAAGAATTGGTGACGTCAGACAAGTTTTCTGACGTCAACGTCGCCTACTTTACGTCACAAACCTTACAGACCGAGCTGGCAAAGAACCGCGAAATGGTGATCCCACTTTTCACCATCACCATTGCTATACTGGTGTTGTTCTCCGTTCTCTCCTGTCTGATGTCAGATTGGGTCCGAAGCAAGCCGTGGCTGGGGGTACTGGGGGTGGTTACGGCGGCGCTTGCCATCATTTCTTCCTTTGGGTTACTGCTACATATCGGAGTGGAGTACAACGACATCGTGGCTGTCACGCCCTTCTTGATTCTAGGTAAGGACTATATATCATGTATGAAGTGTGTGTGTGCGTGTGTGCGTCATTTGTGACGTCATCTAATTATAGCAGTGATGTTGTCGTCTGTTTCAATTCCATCCTTAACGACACGTTTAGTGTGGTACGCGTAGGGGCCTCTAAAAATAGTACAGAGAATTACAATAATTTTGTAACAGACTACTAGCGGACCCTGTGGTTGGAGAGTGTTATCACTGAAACTAAAGCGCGTTAGTACTATTGGGACTGTAATTCTTAAAGCGATATTTCCTGTAGCCCTTACGTCGTATAAAAACTATACCGTTACTACTGCTACTACTACCGTTACTACCGCATGATGTTACAGTAGAAACTTGGGAGATGTACATGTGTCAGGATCAAAATTCAAAGATCAAAAAAGGTGTTTATTTTCTGGATTCCCGTTCACTTCTTTTGTCATTCATGAATATTTCATTGGACACAAATGTCAGGTGGCGCTATTAAATGTTTCACTAGCAACTTGCACAATGTGGTAGGGACAAAAGTCAAAGACCAAAAAAGAAAAAAATATATGTTTTGTAGGTAGTCATACGAAGGACAAGTGTCAGCGATCAAAGTCGCGGTTTTGAATTCTTTATCACGATTACTTTATTGAACGAACAACAATGGTTGCATTGTAGTCTTAAGGGTATAGAGTATTCTTGTACACAGCACAATCGCGAGAAAAGGTAATTTAGAATTTAGTGTGTGTGTGTGTGTGTGTGGAGGGGGGGGGGATGCTGGCTGGAAAGGTGGTAATACTCTCCCCGTGCCTGTGCTACTTAAAATTTACGTGGGTATAAAAAAGACCCCCCCCCCCCACCCCACCCCACCTCTGTTTTTATGTACAAAAGGTAAGGCGGTATCATAACAAATATATTTTGTTGACGAGTAGGCCACTGATAGTAGCCGGAATGATGACATTTTCCATTAATAGCCTAAATAGTACTCGTTTACAAAAATCCTTTTATATAATTATTAAAATAACTCCCCAATAGTTGAGCTCGATACAAATCAACACTCTTTCTCTTGACATACGTATGAGAGAAAGTAAGAGAGATTGAACAATAATCTGCTTTACCCAATGTTGAGCACAATAAAAAGAATACCTTCATGTGACGTTCTGGCAGTAGGGACACTTTGAGCAGTACAAAGTTCAAGGCAATGTCGCGTCTAGGCTCTTGCACACTTCCCTTAGGCGGTACATCCAGGAGCCTTTAACATTGATATCTGGTACATTGATAAGGTTATAAGTCATATATTAGTACTGGCACCTGGGTGTACTGCTTGACGTGTCAGCTATATCTTTATATATATTCGACATTTGTTTGCTTATCGGTCGCGCACTGACTGGCACTCTGACGGGGTCACACAGGAATCACAGGAATCACACAGGTCGTGGACGTTGTCTTTTCGTTTTCGATAATCAATTTTTGGATTGCTTTGACAACATTGGTTCTGCAATAAATTCATGGCTGTTTTGATTAAATGAATTTCAGTTTTCTTATTGGTTTTCCCAGCCTTAATTTTAGGTCACCCAAAGACTTAAATCAGTCTGAAAATATACGGGGAGAACTGGGCAATAGTTGTGGCTTTTTTTCCTTGTAGTTTGGTCCTAAATCTTTATGATATATATATATTTTCGAATCTTAACTTATTTGCCAGTCTGGATTTTCCAACACTGGTTTCTTTATCTTCGAGAATTGACGTCAATTATCAATACATAAGTGTGCACCGATTGACGTCGCCTCTTGAAATTACGAGCGGGTAAAAATTTAGGACTTCCTAAATAGAGGCATTTCTTTACTGATAAAAAAGGAAACTGTTTCTAAAGGGAATCTAAATGTGTTTTTCTACCAATAAAGAATAGCGCTCCCACCCTTCACTCTATTTTTATCATCATCACACAAGACTCAATGAAAAACCTGGTCCATGTCCTCACTGTGTACTGTGATGAACTTACGAGGCACAGTCTGTACACGTGAAAATTAATGTTTTACCTGTAATAAGTAATTTATAAGGCCACATCCTTTAAATATACATGTATGACCCTAACCATCTTCCATCGAAAGAATAGGTATAGTTCACGATAAATCACTTGACTTTTGGCGACAAAAGCACAAGTGGACGTTTTCATTAATCACAGTGTAAATACATTATAAATTGACGTGTCCGAAAATAGAGTGACAATTATATCTTAAGTAGTTACCAAAATGGTTGTCAGATATCAGTTTCTACATAATTACATTTTACTTGTAATGAATTTACTTGTAATTGAATATTGCTTAATTGTTTGAACACGATCTTCTGGAAAACAAATAAAAAACGATTTCTCGGTAGTTTTGGGAGGAACAAAACTGCTCTAATATACTCCATCTTGGAATATTTCACGCAAGGAAAGGCGTACCAATGGTAAAAAGAAAGCGAACCAATATATTTACAGTCATTAAGTAGTTCACAAACCTACTTACATATTTTTATTGAAAGTCATTTTATTTTTAAAGTTTGACTCGTGTTCGTGTTCTCACACATTCGCGCGCGTGCACACACACACACACACACTCAGAGAGAGAGAGAGAGAGATCACCTTGGTAAAATCGCCAGATTTCTTATAACAATCAAAAGTAATCAGCCAACACTAATGAATGGCGCCAATAAATTATTCTTCCAGGTATTGGTGTTGACAACATGTTTGTGATGCTGGCCTCATGGCGGGAGACAGACCCTAGAGACAGCGTGGAGAAGAGGATGGCGGGAACGTTCTCAGACGCTGGCGTCTCTATCACCATCACGGCCATTACGGACGTCGTTTCCTTCGTCGTCGGCTCCATCACTTTCTACCCGTCTGTCCGGATTTTCTGTCTTTATGCAGGTATGGAAATAGGTACACTTTAAATAAATAAATAAAAACATAACTGTTGCATAAATAAAAAGTATTTGATAGAATAAATGTTTTTTCAACGATAAAAATATATTTCTAAAGGACCAAATTGTTCCGTGACGTTCAGTATTAAAAAAAAAAAAAAAAAAAACTCGCAAAAGTAGTGGTTTTGCCGATGTAATAATTGCAGTACATCAATTTAAGTGCAAGTGAACATATGAAAGAACAGATTGATAAGATGAAATGGAGAGAGGGGAGATGAATGAGTAGATTTAGGCAGCAAAGATAATTATCAAGCCCGAAATAATTATTAAAAAGCAACAACACTTTTAACACAAAAGACGACATTCTTTGAAGAGCCACTCGTCTATATTAATCTAACATATTCAAATTGAGTTTTACGGTAGTCCAATTTAGAAGTCCTATGATCGGCGCGTGCTTTATTAGAACGGTTACATGTCACGCTCGAGCTTGACAACAGTCACCAAGGGCAAATCACTCCATGTCCCACCACACTGGAGTGCGGAAAGAGAACTTTGGACATTGTGTAATTACTGGCGACAACGGGGCCTTATCAGGACACGATTGGCCTTCATCGGCGGATGTAGGGTTTTGCTGGGGAAGAAGAGGGGGGGGGGCACAAGGATGAAAAATAAGATAAGAATTTATTGAGCCAATAAATGTATAAAGATACGAGCATCGGGAAGCGTTTTACTTTAAAAGATAAAACTAATATAAATGAGCATTGAAATGTTTATGACTAAGGCTGAAAGGTGGAATTAAAAGGTGGAATTAAAGGTGGAATTAAAATACTAAAGATTACATACTGCTTAGAGATAAAAATTCATTAAACCCGTTTACTGCCCTTATAGGCAGAAGCGCACTGTTGCTAGGTAATGATTTAAATGAGGATTTTCTAGATTGGTTGGATCCCCAAAATTCGTTCCGTTGTTTTTTCCATTCTAAGTTTCATGTGGCCACCCAATTGAAAAAGATCTCTACCGGTTATTTTACTATGGATACTATTGATATAGTTCTCTTTTTAGAGGCATAGCCGAAAGACTGTGCCCCCTCTGGATCAGCTACTGACCTTTTACTGGCTTTACGGAAAGGAGAAGGGGTAGGCCTACATCCGAATCTAAAGGGGGGGGGGGGGGGTCACGGGGTCCACTGTCTCACCCCCCCCCCCCCCCCCCGCCCCCCCCCCTGCCCCNCTACCCTTAGGCGGTACATCCAGGAGCCTTTAACATTGATATCTGGTATATTGATAAGGTTATAAGTCATATATTAGTACTGGCACCTGGGTGCACTGCTTGACGTGTCAGCTATATCTTTATATATATTCGACATTTGTTTGGTTATCGGTCGCGCACTGACTGGCACTCTGACGGGGTCACACAGGAATCACAGGAATCACAGGAATCACACAGGTCGTGGACGTTGTCTTTTCGTTTTCGATAATCAATTTTTGGATTGCTTTGACAACATTGGTTCTGCAATAAATTCATGGCTGTTTTGATTAAATGAATTTCAGTTTTCTTATTGGTTTTCCCAGCCTTAATTTTAGGTCACCCAAAGGCTTAAATCAGTCTGAAAATATACGGGGAGAACTGGGCAATAGTTGTGGCTTTTTTCCTTGTAGTTTGGTCCTAAATCTTTATGATATATATATATTTTCGAATCTTAACTTATTTGCCAGTCTGGATTTTCCAACACTGGTTTCTTTATCTTCGAGAATTGACGTCAATTATCAATACATAAGTGTGCACCGATTGACGTCGCCTCTTGAAATTACGAGCGGGTAAAAATTGAGGACTTCCTAAATAGAGGCATTTCTTTACTGATAAAAAAGGAAACTGTTTCTAAAGGGAATCTAAATGTGTTTTTCTACCAATAAAGAATAGCGCTCCCACCCTTCACTCTATTTTTATCATCATCACACAAGACTCAATGAAAAACCTGGTCCATGTCCTCACTGTGTACTGTGATGAACTTACGAGGCACAGTCTGTACACGTGAAAATTAATGTTTTACCTGTAATAAGTAATTTATAAGGCGACATCCTTTAAATATACATGTATGACCCTAACCATCTTCCATCGAAAGAATAGGCAAAGTTCACGATAAATCACTTGACTTTTGACGACAAAAGTACAAGTGGAATTTTCATTAATCACAGTATATAATACATTATAAATTGACGTATCCGAAAATAGAGTGACAATTATATCTTAAGTATTTACCAAAATGGTTGTCAGATATCAGTTTCTACATAATTACATTTTACTTGTAATTAATTTACTTGTAATTGAATATTGCTTAATTGTTTGAACACGATCTTCTGGAAAACAAATAAAAAACGATTTCTCAGTAGTTTTGGGAGGAACAAAACTGCTCTAATATACTCCATCTTGGAATATTTCACGCAAGGAAAGGCGTACCAATGGTAAAAAGAAAGCGAACTAATATATTTACAGTCATTAAGTAGTTCACAAACCTACTTACATGTTTTTATTGATAGTCATTTTATTTTTAAAGTTTGACTTGTGTTCATGTTCTCACACATTCGCGCGCGTGCACACACACACACACACACTCAGAGAGAGAGAGAGAGAGAGAGAGAGAGAGAGAGAGAGAGCACCTTGCCCAAATCGCCACATTTCTTATATCAAAAGTAATCAGCCAACACTCTAATAAATGGCGCCAATAAATTATTCTTCCAGGTATTGGTGTTGACAACATGTTTGTGATGCTGGCCTCATGGCGGGAGACAGACCCTAGAGACAGCGTGGAAAAGAGGATGGCGGGAACGTTCTCAGACGCTGGCGTCTCTATCACCATCACGGCCATTACGGACGTCGTTTCCTTCGTCGTCGGCTCCATCACTTTCTACCCGTCTGTCCGGATTTTCTGTCTTTATGCAGGTATGGAAATAGGTACACTTTAAATAAATAAATAAAAACATAACTGTTGCATAAATAAAAGTATTAGATAGAATAAATGTTTTTTCAACGATAAAAATATATTTCTAAAGGACCAAATTGTTCCGTGACGTTCAGTATTAAAAAAAAAAAAAAAAAAAACTCGCAAAAGTAGTGGTTTTGCCGATGTAATAATTGCAGTACATCAATTTAAGTGCAAGTGAACATATGAAAGAACAGATTGATAAGATGAAATGGAGAGAGGGGAGATGAATGAGTAGATTTAGGCAGCAAAGATAATTATCAAGCCCGAAATAATTATTAAAAAGCAACAACACTTTTAACACAAAAGACGACATTCTTTGAAGAGCCACTCGTCTATATTAATCTAACATATTCAAATTGAGTTTTACGGTAGTCCAATTTAGAAGTCCTATGATCAACTCGTGCTTTATTAGAACGGTTACATGTCACGCTCGAGCTTGACAACAGTCACCAAGGGCAAATCACTACATGTCCCACCACACTGGAGTGCGGAAAGAGAACTTTGGACATTGTGTAATTAGTGGCGACAACGGGGCCTTATCAGGACACGATTGACCTTCATTAGCGGATGTAGGGTTTTGCTGGGGAAGAAGAGGGGGGGCACAAGGATGAAAAATGAGATAAGAATTTATTGAGCCAATAAATGTATAAAGATACAATCATCGGGAATTGTTTTCCTTTGAAAGATAAAACTAAAATAAACAACTGAGCATTGAAATATTTATAAATAAAGCTTAAAGGCTGGATTAAAATAAGATACTGCCTAGGATTACGCACTGCTTAGAGAGAAAAACTCATTAAACCCGTTTACTGCCCTTAAAAGTAGACGCCTATTATTGCTAGGTAAGAATTTAAAAAGAGGATTAGCTAGATTGGTTCGATCCCCAAAATTCGTTCCGTTGTTTTCCCCATTCTGAGTTTCATGAAGCCAACCAGTTGAAAAAGATCTCTACCGATTATTTTACTATGGATACTATGTCTCAATCGCTTGATATAGTTCTCTTTTTAGAGGCATAGCTTAAAGACTGTGCCCCCTCTGGATCAGCTACTGTCCTTTTACGGAAGGGAGAAGGTGTAGGCCTACATCCGAAGCTAAAGGGGGGTGGTCGAGTGGTCCACTGTCTCAACCCCCCCCCCCCCCGGACCCACCACTGCTCCTCTTTCTGGATACGTTTGTCTGTAGATAAAGTGGCCTATCCTTGAACTTACAGCTCTCTTTGCTTCCGAACTTTGATAAATAATTGATAGTGACTGATAAATAATTAACTGTGTCCTTGTTCAGTATCTTATTGTCCTTGTGTAGATGTACTGCGCGACACCGAACTTATCGCTCCTGCAAAGGTTAACAATTTTATTTTTAAATGCCTCTTATAATACAAAAGTGATGTTGATTTTTAATTTCGTTGTATGATACAGTGGTATATTCATTTTAATTCAATATTACGTGATATACGTACTTATAAACAATTCCGTTTAAAGAAAGAATATTTTTTGTTCAAAATAATGTGATTTTTAGATTGATTATTTAATGAACTGGTGAACTTGGCATTCTAATGTATTGAAGTGTACGTAGTCTTATTAAAGTGCACTATTGATAGTCTGCTAGAGAAAAGCTTTCTACTGGGTATTACATTTGCAAGATTTGACGAGCATGTGTTACCAAATACCGCGTGTGAGTTCTTAGAGAACAATAAAAGTGGTTCACATAACCCAAAACACAAAAATCTTGAAAATCCTCAACACTGGCGGCATTATCGTAACAATTCGGTGAATGGCGAGATTAAGTGTATCTAGGATATATATATATATATATATATATATATATATATATATATATATATATATATATATATATATAACGGCCTAAAGTACGGCGTCTTTCATGCAAAGCTTAAACCATGAATAAAAGCAATTTTAAAAAATAAATCAAAAAATAATAACATAAACACAGAACTTAATAAACTGTGATAAATCATAGACAAGTCCACGTGTATCTGATTATCAAATGAATTGATTAAAGTGCGGGCAATGACTGATAAGTAATTGAACCAAGTGACCGCCATGCCACCGTCCTGGGTCCTACTTTATCAGTTGAAGTATAGCGTCACAGCGGTGGCACGTGGCACTATTCCATGCACGAGGTACTGCGTGAAAATGGGGGGGGGGGGGGGGTCATCCTGTTGAATTTTATTTCACTAATCGGGTGGGTGATAAGAAAAACATAAGGCAATATGCTCTGTTCTTAAATTAAGCATAATTTGAAATCAATCAATGCCAGTGCGATACATTTGTAAGAAGATAGCATTTGTGGCATTAAAAGAAAATAATGAAAAAAAAAACTACCTCTTTAATATCACATTTTTGAGCCTTACATTATAGTACTTAAGTTTACTCAAACCTGTATATTCCTTGAGATAATTTAATCTAATTGCATCTTTTGCTGTTTGTTTTCTCAGGCGTGGCCCTTGTGTTTCACTACTGCTATCAAATCACATTCTTCGGCGCCTGCATGGCTTGGATAGGCCGGAGGGAGAAAGCCAACAGACACTGTATAACTTTATGCAAAGTTATACCCGAGGCTGATGCAGGTAAATATGCTCTATTTTTTAATCGTGGTGGTACACACCCTCTGGTGCTTCAAATATCAGTTTCAAAAAGCGATAAAACACATGTCCATTATTTACTTGTGGCTTCTTTCATTGTCCTAAGTTTTCTTTCTAATTTTTCTAAGCATTTGTTATTAGAGCCTAAAGCATGAGGGAAAGTTGTAAAGATGGATATCTTGTTCCTTTCATAATCGTTCTTGCTTTTTTGCTTTCTAGATCACAAATCCAAAGCATACCGTATATTCTGCGCCGGTGGTACCCCGGAATCCGTTGAGATCAAAAAGAAAAAGGAACTGAACAAACACCATATTATGATTTTCTTTCGGGATTGCGCCGGACCTTTCCTCTCAAAACGTCCAGTAAAGTTTGTCGTGATTGGGATTTACTTGGCCTATTTAGCCGTTGCCCTGTTTGGCTGCACACGTGTGCGCGAGGGTATCGAATTACGTAACATGCCCGCAGACGACAGTTACGCCGTTACATTCTACGAACTAGAGACCGAATATTTCAAGAAATTTGGACCAAAAGTTGCCGTCGTGTTCGACCAAAAACTGAACTATCTCAACTCTTCTGATCAGGAACTTATTCAAGGAGTTTTGGAAGAATTTGAAAATGATACGGACTTTTTCTACAAACAGGAATTCGAATGCTGGCTGACGGATTTCTTGCTATTCGCCAACGAAAGTAACATAGAGTTGACCGAATCGAACTTCATTCCCACTCTGGAGAACGCTTTTCTAAAAATGCCTGGAAAGGAAAAATACAAATCTGACATCGTTTACAATGAAAACAGGACAGAAATCATTGCCTCTCGCTGTTTCGTGCAGTCAACGAACACCAACGACACAGTGCGCGAGAAGGACATGATGATGCACTCTCGCGCCATCGCGGACAACTCAGAGCTCAATGTCACCGTCTACCACCCTGCCTTTGTCTACTACGACCAGTACGTCACGATTCTCCCTAACATGCTACAGAACGTTGGAATCGCTTGGGGTTCCATGATGCTGGTCGCCTTGTTTCTCATTCCGGACCCGGTCTGCTCCATGTGGGTGGCCCTCTCCGTCGCCTCCATCGAGGTCGGTGTCATTGGCTACATGACGCTTTGGGGAGTTAACCTCGACTACATGTCTATGATCTACGTTATCATTTGTATCGGGTTTTCAGTGGACTTCTCAGCACATATTGCTTACGCGTACGTCACTGCAAAGGGCAAGGCTAAGAAGAGAATCAGAAAAGCCCTCTACGTATTGGGCCTCCCAATTCTTCAAGGTGCCCTGTCCACGATATTGGGCGTCTTGGTGTTGAGCCAATCTTCTGCGTACATGTTTAGGACCTTCTTTAAAATCATCTTCATGGTGATCCTATTTGGTGCATTCCATGGGCTTGTAATTATCCCTGTGGTGCTTTCTCTTTGCATGAGAGGGAAACCAAAGAAACCCGAAAGCACGACGTATAAGCAACATGACTGCACTGAAGAACAGTGGAGTGAACTTTTAGAAAGGCAAAAACAGAACGGTGGTGCTGGGGATATCACATTGACCAATCTACCTCCTCCCAGCCAGCCATTTCTCACTCGAAAATCCTCTACTTGCCCAGGTGACTTAAACATGGCGTTCAACAATAATTCCATAAGATCTGCAAATCAGCCACAATCAAAAAAGTTATTTGTCGGAGGGGCGGGCGCATGCGTACAAGTGGATTGGGACGAGGAATCTGGATATTCAACGTCGACACTCGGAAGCAGTGGAACTGACCAATGACAGACGGACTTGAATTTGCAGCAATTGTGTTGCGGCAAATGAAATTTAAGTCAATGATAGGTTTGCTGCAGAAATGAGGCTAAAGAAAGTGCTCGTAATACAAACGGCATTCAAATGGCCATCAATAAGCCAACATTTCAAGATTATAAAAATGTCGGTTAATTGCAGGGAATTGAAAGCTTAAGTGCCATTTTACATGAGTGAGAAAAAAAGAGCAAATGCTATTGTAGGATCTCCGCGCCTGTGCATAACTTTGGCGTCGGCGGGCGTAATACAGATTGGTTGTTTTTAAAATGCGAGTTTTTAAACGTAGCTATGTATTATGGAGATATAGGGATAATTTTTTATCTTTCAAGTTTGCAGGATTTCTGGAACTCCTGTCAAAAACATTCGGGTAACCGCATTTTCACGTTAAAAAGATTTAATGATGCACATACTGTAAGTCTTAACGATTATTTAAGTGTCCAGTAACGCAAAGCGTCAAAAGGTATCGTGGGGAGAAAAGCAAAACAATGCAATTTTAATGTCTGTGTTTATTTATATTTTTTAAAGAATTATTCTTATTATATGTTTTAGATAGGACTTAGCCATGTCTCAAATTTTCAACAAACATAGTCTTTAATCAGTAGTAGTAGTAGATTTTTCCCAAAATGAAGAGTGCCAAATGACTTGTACTTCAGTCCCTGTTGAAAACTTTTTCTCAGAACAGATTCAGGTGTAGTTTTATCTTCCTCAAACTGATACGAGATATCTTTGTTTTAAATGAAACTTTTGAAAAAGAGTTAATAACCGAAAGGTCTAAGCACTTTGTGATATATATTGACAGTCAATGAAAACGCATCAGAAAACTTTCATGGACTTTTTTTACCGAGAATCTATTCCAACCATAAAAACGAGTACAAATGCACTTGTTTGGTCATAAGAGAGTGGGCTGACCACTATTTCATATTTCACATATTTCACACGAAAACTGTTATATTCTTAATGTGGCAAAGGAACTTAAAATGTTATCTGATAAATAAATGATGCGTTTTCATTGACTGTCAGTATATATGGAGTATGAAACTTACGAATATCATTCAATATTATTTTAATTTCATTTTCACCTTGGTTGATGCTGGGGAATCAAACTAAGAAAAGTGAAATAAAAATTCATAACAAGTGAACTTTTAAGAAAACGAACACTTAATGCTGAATTCAGTTAAGATAAATGTCAAATTAAAAATATTCGCATATAAGGAAGAATAAAAACTCATGAAATGATGGAAATTAGTTGTTATTGAATAACAATTACACGGTCAAATTTGGGAAAAGTGAAACTCAGTAGCGAGAATAAAGAGATAAGGAAAAGAACATAAGCCTTATTGGAATGATAAAATAAAAATAATCCAAAAACATCTTTCCCAATACCGATTTTTAAAGTTAAAAGAAAAGAAGCATAATAGACTACGCGGATTTTATGAAAATAACAAGCAATTAGTTGCTTGACTATACCGGTCTAACTATACCGGACTTTTATGCAAAAGGTCATTTGCCGTGACCCACGAGAGCCTGTACAAGTACAAGAGGACTTATTTGAGAAGCCAACACGGACCGTTCCTACATAGATTCCTTTTTTACGATGACTTTCTTTGTTTTATGCTAAGATTTACTTTGGCTTCAACAATGACGACAAAGAGCACAATGGGACGGTTTTAGTTTTAGCAACCCCGCTATATTTAGTCCTATTCTGTGCACGCGGTGAAATTCTACATTTTCAGTATTAAATTCTTCCCTCGTAAAATCTCTCAGTACCCATTTGCAGTCCTCGCCCCCTTTTTCTTCTATTCCTTGGAGAATGAGATTGCCCCCCTTTGACCTCGCTTGTAAATCAACGTGGCGGCTATACTGGTTTTTCATCCGATCCCTTTTCAGGTGACGATTCTCCTTTTCAGTTTCCTTAAACTTGCGCTTTATTTCCCCCATTCTTTCGTCATATTCTTCACGTTTGCAACTTGAAACTTTGCCCATCTCATTGTCAGTTTCAGCAACATTTCAGCTAGGGAAGTATTTGACACCAAAGATGCCCAAAGTATATCTGCTCAAAGTTTCGCAGCTCAAATCACACACTTTTAGTGATTGAAAAAGGTAGACACGAAAATATTCCATATGAAGACAGACTTTGTGTTTTATGTGGGTTGAGAGAAGAGAATGAATATCACTTTTCACCAGAGCGTGAATTTTACAGAAATTTAAGAGAAAAATACTTTTCAAAAAGATATAACAGTCTCCCAAATCTCAATAAGTTTAGAGAATTAATTCGGCCTGGAATTGCTAATTTGTTGATTGGTTTAATGAAATTTGTATTCTATGCTTTCAAATTAGGAGCTGAATGCAAATTCTCCGCTTCGTTTATTAGTATTATTATTACTATTATTACAGAGTCTGTAACTGAGACCATAAGTTATAATGCCTCAGCCAAACATTCAACTAATTTCAAATAATGAATAAAATTTTAATGGATGTGGGGAATCTTACTTATTAGCTAAATATAACACAAGGGTCTTCACACAAGTAACTATGATGATTTATTTATTTTGCCCCGTGTCAAATTTATTCCTCAACTGTTCCTGTATGGCAGATACATCACAGAGCATTATTACTGTAGTAAATTGTGTCTGGTGCACATAACACATTAAAAAAGTCAGATTCTCTTTTTGGTGCTTACAGCTAATCACCGATTCAGTTTTGGGGTTGGGTGTCTTTCTCCCCAGAAGTGTTCTTTCTCTCAGTGATTGCTGCCTCTGAAAATCTCATTTACAGCCAACCTATTAAAGCTTCACATTTTGTCTTGAGTCTCTCGATCTGGTTTCTTTTCTCTCTATTCTGACCAAAAATATCCTAATCCTTGAAATCCTTCAAGTTTGTAAATGGACTCTCAGCAATTTCCGTTCTGTAGTCACAATTTCGTTTAACTTAGGCCAATCCCAGCACCAGTTTCACCGAAACTCTTTCATGATGTTGTGCGTGTCATCTCAAATAATGTCTTGTCTCTCAAGACAGCAACTGGTTAAAGTAATGGATGTAAGATTATCTCTTTTTCATCTTACACGTAGTTCACGGTACAGTTGTATTAGCTCTCCGCAATGTCAATAATCCTGTAATGATGTCACTTGGCAACATTTTCACACGAGCATACTCATCTGCATTGGCATACCTTAACTTGGTATGCGGATCTCTGTAGTTAGCCTATAATAAATAAATAAATTAATTAATTTATTAATAAATAAATAAATAAATAAATAAATAAACACTTTACCTATATAGTTTCACTTATTGCCTAGTGATTCAGGAACCAATTTCAAGCAAACTCTGCTCCATATCTTTTTAATTGGAGAATACGTTTTACATACATTCTAGTATTATTTATTTGACAATTTTTAGCAAAGACATAATGAACAATATCTTTAAGCTGTACTTACCATCAACCCTGACAGATCTGAATATTTCTTAACTGGCTTAAAGGTAGGTGGGGCATCTATTGATCCATCTGATATTTAAAAAAAAATAAAATAATAATAATAATAATAATAATAATAACAAATTACACTGACAGAAAATCAACTCTGAAAAACTGAATGCTGATTTAATCTTAGAAGACTTAACACAATGCATGATACTATTACCTGTTTTAAAATCTTATCAGCTGTTTTTAACACTGATACTCTAGTGTTTTATAAAGAAAGTGAACTTCAAAATCATCTCAGCTTAAAGCACATGTATTACTCTTTGCATCGTGATAAGAGATTGGGTTTAAAATGGATATTTTAGTTTTAAACACTGGCACACCCCAGGGCTGCGTCTTATCACCCTGTTTATATACGTTATTCACCCACGACTGTGTGGCGAGGGAGGAAAATACATTTTTAATGAAGTTTGCCGATGACACAACTTTAGTCGGCTTGATACACCATAATGATGAGATGTCATACAGGCAGTCGGTTACAAGTTTAGTAAATTGGTGCACAGACAATGACTTGATATTAAATGTGAGCAAAACAAAAGAAATGATCATAGACTTCAGAAGAAATCAGATAAGTAAAAATCCCTTGGAAGTTAACGGTAAAGCGGTCGAACAGGTTTCTAATTATAAATTACTAGGGGTTCAGCTGAATAATAGGTTAACCTGGGGCGATAACATCACGAAGCTATTGAAAAAGGCACGTCAACGAATGTATTTCTTAAGGAAATTGAAAGCTTTTACCAGAAATGTGTTTATTTTAACGAACTTTTACAGGTGTGTTTTAGAGAGTATTTTAACTTATTCAGTAACTGTTTGGTATGGACGTGCAACTGTGGAGGAGAGGAACAAGTTGGAAAAGATCGTCGAAACTGCAGGGATTGTAATTGGAACAGATCTAACTCCCGTCCATACTATATATCTAGACAGGACTAAAAAGAAAACATTATCAATAATGACAGACAGTTCCCATCCAGCCCATACCCTTTTTAAATTTTTACCTAGCAATTCGAGACTCTTAGCTTTTAAGGGTAGTAAGCGATTTTTAAATAGCTTTTATCCTTCGGCAGTAACTATTTTTAACTCTAACATGTAATTTTAATTTTCATTTTTT